GTTTGCTAACATGTATAACACTGTACCAGTCACTGCATGTTGTCCTGTAAATATATAACAAAGCACCTGGCTCTGCCTGCTAGTCGATTCTCATCAGTCCTCTGGTTTTGGCTTACTGTGATGTATAGAAGAGAACCCTTCTGTTTCACGGTATTAGGAGAGGGAAGGAAGGAAATGTACCTATTTAGACGACAGAAGTAGAATAACTTAATAGAAATGGAACAGCTTATTTTTGCTTTTGGGGAAACATTAATGCAAAGTGAAATGGGAAGGAATGGAATGGTAAAGGAGCTTACTAACCAAGACTGAGGTTAATGAATCTAGCTCTAATTTCTAAAACTCTGAGAGGTAATTGAAGAGTATTGCTGAGCCCCGTTTTCACCAGACTCTGTCTTACTCTTAAGTTGAACTTGGGTGAGTTAATCAGGGAATGAAAGTAATGAATTGTATATATTTTTAGGTTGAGTTTTAATTTTTAAACTGGTATTTTCCTTAAAAAACCAATTTCATGTTCATTATAAAACTGTAGATAGTTTAGAAGATTATGAAATGAAAAATAAATCTTCTTTCCCCTTTCTCCTTGATCACACTCCCTTACTCTTAGTAGTTCTTGTGTGTCTTTCCAGAGAAACTATGCATATACAGGCTCATACCATATATACATGAATGAATATAAATGTAATGTATTTTAGTATATTTGTTAGATTGATGATTTATTGGTGGTACATTAACTCATTTCCTTAAGAAAGAGGTGCATAGCATTGTGACATTTGATATGGTATTAAAATCTAATAAAACAGATTTTCACATGGGGAAAACGTTTATAACAGATTAGAGTTCCAGTTAAGTATTACTGCTTATAGCTAATCAGACAATTTTTTTCATGACAGTTGATTTCTGTGGCCATTTTTAACCAAACTTAAGTTTAAAAGATTTAGAAAAGATCAGAAACTTATTGACAGAAATTAATCCTTACATAGTACTTGCATGTTGATTTCCTAGTCATGTAGCATGGATATATGTCAGATAAGATGTATACAGCATGACAGGAAATAGGGGAAATGGCTGACTTCTGGCTTTGTTCTCAGTGTGTCTTCAGGGCCACAGCTTCCTCCCAGCCATTGTTTTCTTTCAGGCACTCCCACCTACATTAAAAACAAAAGCCAGATTTTAAGAGCTGGGAGGTGGTGTTCAGTAAGAAAGGCTCCCCTGCATAGGCTCAATGTGGCCACAAAACAATTGTTTTTATCATTCAGTAAATTGAGATATTAGTCTTGTCTAGGGTAAACGTTCAGTAATAATTGGGGGCCTGTTTTTCTCTTTGTTTTCTTTTTAGAAATTTGATGCTGATCCAGTTGAATTATTTGAAATTCCAGTAAAGGAATTAACATTTGACCAGCTCCAGTTGTTAAAGGTAGTCATAGTAGCATAAAATGTAAATTATCTCTTAGTTTTAGGACTATTTATACTTGTCTGTGTGTGCTAATGTTCTCTGCACATGGAGATGACTGTCTATTCAGCATGCGTAGAGTGTATGCTTTGGTTTTCTGTTCTGTTAGGAAGCATACGTTTGTGCTAATCCATCTCTTCTCTAACAGTTTCCATGGACCCTGTTGTTTTTGCATTCGTGAAGGGGCTAGCCCATGTCTTTGTAGGTGATAGGGGCTAGCCCTTCTCATCCGTAATCTTAGGCTGCCTCTGGTCTCCTTTAGCCCTTCTTCATATAGCTGTCACTAGTTTACAATTGGCCTTTTATGCTATTGTTGGTTTTTATACTTATGTTACTATGGTAGGTCTTTGTATGTTTTGTTATGCTATGTAATTTTACATGATCCCTCTTCCTATTTCCATTAGATACCTAAATAAATGGTTGAGTATAAAGAGTTTCCTAATTTAAGAATTTTTATATTCTTCTTCCGTATTTGGGTATTTGATCATGATCTTCTCTGTATGTATGCACATAAAATATATACAGTGGTTAGTGCTTACTCTTAGTAAACTGATAATTCTACATTTTATAGTTTTCTCTAACTTGCTAGCTATTCAAGTTACAGTTCTATTAACCATATCTTCATGAACTAAGGCTTTTTTTCTGATTGCATTTTGTATGTGTGTGTGTGTTTTCTAGCTCGCTCATGTGACTGCACTAAAATCTAAAGATCTGAAAGGTATGTACCAATATGGAAACACTGTTTTCATTTGGTAGTTAGCATATATACAATATTTCCTTATCCATTTTAACATACTCTTGGTCATTTGAGTAAATATAATACTGGGCTCTCTCAGTGTGATTTTATAAACATGAAGGCTTTTTACGCATATTAATTATCAAATGCATGTATGTCGTATGTATAGTAACTGTGATTTTTTTATTTTTGTGAGTTTTCTTAGCTTGATGATCAAAGTTCTTTATAATTTTATACCTATCAATCTTTCCAAACATTCTTAACCATTACAAAGTGGAAACTGTATCGAGCATAGAATCTGGCTCCAGAGCTGGGAGTTTGAATCCATCTCTAGCGTTTACCAGCTGTGACCTACTTTACTTAAATGCTCTGTGGCTCAGTTTCCTCAAAGCTTGTCCTGCCTACAAAATCTCTTTGCAATTCCACTTTTCTTTTTACTTCATAGAACTTAATAGTCTCTGCCATTCATTTGAGGCTTCTTGTGCCCTTTTGTAACCCTTTATTTCTGTACATGTCCTGTCTCTTCATCTAGAATGTAAACCTCTCCAGGGTGGGGAATTGTTTTCATATTCCCCAAGACATTTACAGGGCTCTGCCCATGGTAGTTACTCCTTAGATGTTTATCTGCAGTTGTAATAACAGGATAGTTGGAATGCCTTTATGAAGAAATTGTGAAGTGCTAAAGACTCCAAAGATTAACCCCAGAACATAAATACGACTTCTTGGTTCGTAGATATTTCATGACTATTAGTAATAAAATGAATTTACCTTTAATTTATTCAACAGGAAAATTTTATGTGATTTGTTTTAAGAAAAGCTTGATATTTTTTTCTTTCGGAAAAAATTCTTGTGTTTCTTGAGATAAGTGGTAATGGTAAAAAAGAACAATGGTAGCTATAGATTCTCTTAATTTCTAACTTCTGAGTTGATTTTGATATTTCAAATAGAAGGCTTAGCAAGATGACACAGCTCTTAATTCCACTGAGAAATAACAGATCACTACTTGTGACTACTTTTTAAAAAGTATTACATTTTTATAATAAAATAATCACGGTTGGGGCCATCAACTGTGATGTTTCTATTAAGTATTGCAAACTGGTCTTCATAAAGGATGCTTATTTCAAAAATGGGAGTCTTAATGGTTAAAAATAATAAATACAAGAGCCTCCAAAAAATACTACATACGAAATGATCTCATAATTACTTCAGCTTCTCTTTTTTTGCCCTAAGAATTTAGGAAAAGATCTTGGTGATAAAATGGTATTTTATCTACTGAGTTTTTAAATTTAAAATTTCAGAATCTGTGGTTGAGGAAGAAAATTCTTTTTCTGAAAATCAGCCATTTCCTTCTCTTAAGATGGTAAGTTCCTTAGGAAAACTAGAGCAAGACTATCTCATTAATTCTGTTATATCTGAATAATTTATTTTGGTCTTTTAAATGGGCACTAAAAAGGCTGTGTAAAAGACAGCTTTAATGTAAACTTGTCATCATTGATGTTTTCAGAGAAGATACATTCTTGGGTGGTGTACCTATGCTACTTTTTTTTTGTTTTTCTGTTTTATCTCCCCAAATCCCCCCAGTACACAGTTGTGTATTTTAGTTGTGGGTCCTTCTAGTTGTGGTGCTACTTTTTTTTTTAAGAGTAACGTATCTTCTCAAATGAATAAAAATTCCCACCTCAATGGGTTAATTTGGTAAGAATAGGAAATTCACATATTTCTGTATATAAACAGGAAGGAGAGGGCTCATAAAAAGGGGTGGGAGGGAGATGTAATGATGGGAGAGGCATTTTTACAATATTTAAAACTGTTCCTTAGCTTTTAGAGAGAAATGAAATTCTCCAAGCAGAGAAAATAAGTGCCCTGGTTACTTAAAATACGCCACGAGTTTCAAGAATTTGTTGTGAAAAAGCATAACGAAAACTAGCATGACGATTTAAAAATTAGGCACAATTCATACAGGAATCCCTTTGACAGCATCAGGCAAGCCTACATGGATACCAGACACTTTCCTTGACCATGCTGGGTCTGCTTTGGTTCCTACTGGCTCCATTTCCTAACTTCTACTCTTCTCCATTGTCTTTTTTGGTGATGTCAGGTACAATAGATTTCTTAGGCAAAATTGGGTAATTTCAATTTATCGCGATTATTCACCCTACAAAAAGGATGCTACCAGAGAGCCCCTTGTCCTTGCAATGGACGTTGTCCTAGTGTATTTAAAACATGATTTGAATAATTTTTCATATATTTATGAAGCCCAGCTAAGTAAAGTCATTTGTTCTAGTCCAAAATTCTGAAATCATTTGCTTCTTAGAAATCTCATGATTTCATAGAACAGAAAAACACTTAAGAAAAAATTGTGTCTCAGAGGTTTGACAACATTTACTTAGCCAAAGAAGTTAAACACACACACTCATTTATTCACCCACTTTACCATCACTATAATTTAATCACAGAGAAATTTTAAAACTAAAGAAAGGCCAAATCCAATCTTAGTATGAAGGAGAATCTGCAAATTTGATGTTTAGTAGTCAACACTAATATACACTAGTGTCCTTATTTTTCTAATTTTGCATTAGTGCAGTAAAAATGTGACAGGTACATTAAAAATAAATAAGGCTAAAGATATCAGAGAAGAAAGTAAAGAAGCCCCACATGAAACTGAGACAAACTGGTCTGGGTGCTGTATTTCCATGCAGCTGGTTAGTGCAGACCCAGGGCTAGATCCCAGGTCAGCCTACGCCCAACTGTGTTCTCACCACTGTGTTATCTGTTAGTATGCTTTTATTGGCTCTTATACAATTAAATACTGTATATCCTATACATGTTAAATGATTTCTAAACTTCTGAAATAAATTGAGCTAAAAAACAATCTGTTTGAAATTCATTTTGCCCTGAGTATGTTTATGTGTTTGCCTGGTCTTCATGTTTGAAGACTCAACAAGTCAGCTCTTTGTACGTTAATATTCAAGCTTCATATTTTCAATTTGACTTTCTAGTTATGCAGCCAAAATGATCTTTTGCAAAATGTCCAGGTAACTTAGTCTGGATAAGTTGACAACTTATTGTTTGCTTATATAGATAGTGCCTTATTTGTTAATGAGCCTCGGCATACTCTTTCATTTGGAGATGACATCTTTTCAGGGGGTTCTCAGTATAGTGTTTGTTAAGCATCACCGCCTTGGAAATAAGCTAGAAATCGTGGCTTTTCATATAGCCACTTCTTAGTATGGTAGATTGGCAGCCTCAGGCAAGCCTGAATGCAATTCAGAAAGCATGACAAACGTCTTCTTAAATTCATGAGGTCGCCTGTCTTACTACAGCTGATTTGGCATGTTCAGTAGTGATGGTGAAAGGATTTTAGGTTGAAGGTTCATCTTTGTGGTAGTAGTCATCAGTTACCACAGATGTTGCCTGAGACTACTGCTTTTGCTATTTAATTTTTTTGACTTTCTTATTTAACTTGATCATTAACCAGGCTGCCAGTTTTTGAGTATGAGAAAAGATAGTGGGTTATGCTGAAAGCACATAACATTTTTTATCCTTACTAGTGATATGTTTTCTTATAGATTTCTTTTTGTAGTAATTGTTTTCCTTTTTTTCTTCTTATCCTACCATTCCTCTCACGAAAAACAAAACAAAATTTACCACCAACAAACAAAACTCTAGGTTTTAGAGTCTTTGCCAGAAGACGTAGGGTTTAACATAGAAATAAAATGGATCTGCCAACAGAGGGTAAGTAATTCTCTGTGTAACACCCTCTTCTTCCTCCCTCTCCATTTCTTTAAATGCATTCATCCCTGTCTCTTCATTTTAATGGAATAAGTGAGACTGAAATCTTATTGTGGCTTCTTCTAGCAAACACAGTGCTTGTTGGTCCTTTTATTAATAAAGTCTGTCTTACACTTTTACTAACGCAGAGTGCTTGAAGTAGTGATGAATGTATGATAGTAGAAATTTCAGTTTACATGTTTCTCATGCACATTAATATGGATGGTTTCTGGGCATACTTACAAAGTGAACAGTGAGAACTTTCTGGACAGTCAACTTCATAACTCTGTGGTTAGTTTTTGTTTTCTTATCCCCCATCTAAACATGTATTTTAAATAATTTCCTAATTTTCTGTTAAGTGGCATTAGCTAGTAATAATTAACTAGGAAAAGAAATCTCCGCAGATATCATGCCTTCTAAGTAGCTATTTATGATAAGCTGGTTCTGGTTAACATAGTGAGTGTTGAACCAAGGTTTTCCTAATAAGTGATTTTTAGTTTTCTGAGCTTTTAGATTATTTTAATGACTAATACTTAAAACATTTAATGTTTGAATATCAACAGGGTTCTTGGTATCTTAGCTATATTTGGAGACTTAGTTTTATTATTTGTTGAGAGTAGTTGATATGCTTAAGACCCACAGAATGAGATTTTTAACTGTTAATTCATAATAACCAGGGGTTTTTTGTAATGAGTTACAGAATAAGCAGGTGAAGTGGAGTCCTTTGGTCCTTTAGTTTATGAAGATTATATTTTAAAGTCATAGTTGATTGCAAATTACCAGAGTTTTAGCTTTTACTTTGTTAACCTTAATTCGTTAAAGCAAAAGTCTGTTGATAATATAGTCACTTTGTATATAAGTTCTCCATACTTGAATTATGATAGCTGCACCATCACTAAGTTGCTGTGTGGTCTTGGGCAAGTGAATGTTTTCAGGCTTCATCTGTAAAATAAGTGTTGGACTAGATGTTATCAAGATTTTTTTCCAGCACTGTAATTTTAGGGTATTTAATGACTTTAGTTTTCCTGTTAATTTCTTCCACATAGGATGGAATGTGGGATGGTAACTTATCAACATATTTTGACATGAATCTGTTTTTGGATATAATTTTAAAAACTGTCTTAGAAAATTCTGGGAAGAGGAGAATAGTGTTTTCTTCATTTGATGCAGATATTTGCACAATGTGAGTAATATTCAGTTTTTTTCTCCTATACTCTTAGACTGTAGCTAGGACTTAGGATAGAAAGGTCATGGTTGGAAGTGGGAAAGTTGCCCAGGCTTCGCGTTTGAATTTTCCTCTCAGTCAGGTTATACATATTCTCACATCCCTTCAGGACTACCTGCTGGGGTGCCCTCCATGCCCCCTGGGTCTACCTCTGCCCTGTGTTTCACTTTACAGGCATGTAACGTCCTCCTTACCCAATTATAAGCCCACAAGGACTTTCTTGTTCCCCATTTCTGAGAATATTTTAGCTCTTGTGTAGAATAATTAAGAAAAAAATTTTATTTTGACTGAAAGGCAATGCATGTTGATGGTGGTTATGTCTCAGTAATGAAATTATGGGGTTTTTGGGTTTGTTTTCTTTGTATGTTTAGAATTTTCTAAAATTTCTAAACAGTATAATTACTTCCCCAATGAAAAGTATCTTTTAAATTGCCTTTCTTAGGGTTCGGCAAAAGCAGAACAAATATCCCATATTATTTTTGACTCAAGGAAAGTCTGATATTTATCCTGAACTCATGGACCTCAGGTCTCGGACAACCCCCATTGCAATGAGCTTTGCACAGTTTGAAAATCTACTGGTAAGCTATGTTTGAATTTTTTAATTTTAATTTTTTAAAATGTTTTAGAGCAGTAGTAAATAAGGTTTCATGTTACTTTATACATCTAATTTTTTAGTTTTGACCTATGTATAACAAGCAGGAGCTCTACTTAAAAATGAGGATATTAGATCTGAGAATGAAAAGCAGTTAAATGAACAAAAGAAAATATTTTCTGGGGCCGGCCCGTTGGCCCAGTGGTTAAGTTCGCACGTTCCGCTTCTCGGTGGCCCAGGGTTCACCAGTTCAGATCCCTGGTGCGGACATGGCACTGCTTGGCAAGCCATGCTGTGGCAGGCATCCCACATATAAAGTAGAGGAAGATGGGCATGGATGTTAGCTCAGGGCCAGTCTTCCTCAGCAAAAGAAGAGGATTGGCAGTAGTTAGCTCAGGGCTAATTTTTCTTAGGGGGAAAAAATATTTTCTTGCAGGCTTAGGCTAAGTAAAGTTTATAGTTTAGTTTTCTGAGTGGATTTTATGAGTCACCTAAAATGGTTAGACTGTAAACTTGTTCAATAAAATAAATTGTAAGAAAAACTTCTCACGTTTTCTTTTTCTGCCCATTACTTGGGAGAGCACTGATCTAGAGTATGACCATTTAGCATCTGCAGTTAATAAGTTACTTTTTCATGAGAAACCTATTTTTCTTCTTTTAGGGGATAAATGCACATACTGAAGACCTGCTCAGAAACCCGTCCTACATTCAAGAGGCAAAAGCTAAGGGACTAGTCATATTCTGCTGGGGTGATGATACCAACGACCCTGAAAACAGAAAGAAATTGAAGGAATTTGGAGTTAATGGTCTAATTTATGATAGGTATTTGTTTTTCATGAAAAATTTCTATGGAATGTTAGGAAAACAGTAGTTCACATCTTAGAAAATGAAAAATAATATTAAACTTAGTTAAGTTAAAAAAATCTGTAGTTTGGCCTGAGATTTATCTGAACATTTTTTTGTCATTGGAACTTTTCAAACTTTGGAGTACCACAGTCATTTGGGAAGCTTGTTAAAAATTCGCGTGACTGGGCCCTAACCCAGACGCGCTAAGTCGTCTTGTGGGTGGGAGTGGCTGTCTGCCCCAGACCTCTTCTCTGTCTGCACCAGCTTCTGTGGTGAGGTCCTCCAGTTTTGTGGCTTTTCCTACCTTTGTATATTCCCGAACTTTTATGTCTCCAGCTCAGACCCTTCCTTAGACCTTTAAACGTTTGTATCCAGCTGCCAACACCTGTTTTTCCGAAGACTTGCTGATTTCAGTATAAATGCCAGCTCCGTCTTTCCAGTTTCTCAGGCCAAATCCTCAGAGTCTTTCATAACTCTATTTATCTCATACCCCAAATCCAGCCAGACACAATCTTGTTGATTATATTGTCAGAACATATCCTGACTCCATCCACTCACCACTTTTACTGTTGTCACTCTCTCCTAAGCCACCTCATTTTTCAGGTGAATTAGTCAAGTAGCCTGCTCGCTGGTGACTGGCCCCACCCATGCGTCCCTGCTCCGTCTTCTCAGCACAGCAGCCTGAGGGAGCCTGTTAAAGCCGAAGTCAGGTTACTGGGTAAAACTCTCCCGCAGTTTCTGTGTCACCTCTAGTGAAATCCCAGTTCCTTATGTGGCCCTGTGTGGGCTGACTCCCATCCAATCCCCCACCACTACATCTGCCCTCTTTCTGTCTCTGACCTCTTCTCCTACAGCTTTCCCTCAAGCCACCCCCACATTGGCCTCCCGCTGTTTCTCTCCAGGAAAGACTGAAATGTCACCATCTCAGTAAGCCCTTCCCTGAATATCCTAATTCAGATAACAACTCTGCTCACAATGTGCTTCCTGACTTTTTTCCATGGTGTTCACCACCATCTGATATACCCATGTACATATTATATCCTACTTAATTTACATTCTCCCTGACCACCTTTCCCAGCCCCCGCCTCCCCCCTCCCCCCAACAAGCTCCATGGGGACCAGCTCTTTGCCTGTTTCATACACTGCCCTATCTCCAGAGGTCACAACAATGTGGGATACACAGTAGGAGCTCCCATATTTGTTGAACAGATCTTTTTCTTTTCCTTTTTTATAAGCTCCCCGGGAGTTTATGATGCAGGTTTGAGAGCCACTAATCTGAGAGCCGGAAAGGTTGCTTAGCATAAAGGAACTTTGAGTTAGAAGGGCTGTCGTTAGAGGGCATGAGTTAGAGGGATGAGCAGACTTGTTAATACTTGAACAGCATTATACAAAGAGAAAGTGATAAAATTCTTACCAGGCCTGCTTTGAAAAATATTTTCCTGGAATTTAGTTCATATTTCTGTTCTATACAGTTATATCTCTTCCTTAATAAAACTTTTTTTTCACTATTTTGTCTGAATTAGTATGGTTTTAAAATTACAGCCCAGATAATGCCTGCCTTCCTTTTTTTAACTATTTGGTTAATTTTGTATTAAGCAGCAAATGATTCATAGCTCTTTTTAATAGACATTTCTACCTAACTGATGGAAAATTAAAATTTTAAAGGAACAATTTGAAGGAAATTCCGGCTTTAGCAAAGTTTTGAAGAATATTTCTTTAAGGAGGAGGAAGGAATGATTGCAGATATTTTCAGGCAAGAAAAGCGTATTGTGAGATTATACCATGTACAGTTTTGTGGGATATACAAATTTTAGGCAGATCCTTCATCTCAACAACCTCACTTGCTTGGAGCCAAATATGAACACGTGGTGGAGAACAGGAAGATGCTATGTGATATAAAAGGCCCTGAAGAAAGTGAGTTCTTTCAGGCCCACGGTCAATAAGAATAATTTTTAAAAAGAAGCATTGAGATGAATTTGGGGGCGGTGTGATTAAATTCGCTTTCACAGGGTTTGCGTTTTAGGCAGAGGTGAGAGCACAAATGGGGCAGGACGTTGAGGGCGCAGAGGACATTGAGGACACAGCCCAGCAGCGGCTCCTGCTAGGGTTTGATGAGAGGTGCGGTGGGTTGTGTTAGAGCTGCTTTTTACCCTTCAAATTCTTTCTATTTAATTCTAATCAAAGAACTACATATATATGCATAACTATACGTATATAATTTTAAAAATCAAATAGTCTACAAGGCTTACAATAAAAACCAGCCGTCCACTATCCCTTTCATTGTCTCCAGCTGAGTTCTGTGTCCTAATTTTTTTTAGCTGTTTCTTCTGGTACTTAATGTGCTTATGCTATTATTTTTGTCATTGTCAAATTTGGACATTATATAGAAGGTTTTGAATGATTAGTGATTGTGAGCCTTTGATTCATTTTACACTGGGGAGAAGTGTGATGAGGATGGGTGTTTTAGTATGTCAAAAACCATTGTGTTCTCTTCTTTTACAAAGGTGTTAACACAGTAGATTTTACAGTTAATCATAGTTTTGTGATATATTATCTCATATAAACCACTATGTTTGATTTGCTGATATTTGGGGATTTCTGCATTTATGATAATGAGTAAGATGGCCTTTAATTTACGTTTCTCAAATGGTTATCTAATTTTGGTATGGGTACCAAGTACTTGCCTCGTAAGTTGGCACCGTTCCCTCTTTTTATAAAAATGACTGTCTGCTCAAATGATTTAAAAGAAATACTATAACAGACACCACTTTTAAAGTAAAGAACTTTCATTATCCTTAGATTTGAAGTCCCTTGTGTGCCTCTCCCTAATTCTATTCCCCTATCTCCTCCCTCAGGTATAACTGCTTATCAAATTAGTATTCTTTTTAAAAGTTTTTTAAATTCCTAATTTGTATCACTAAACCATGTACCATTTAGTTTTGCATGGCTTTTAACTTTATTTTTACTTTTTTTCCATGTGTTTTGATGTTCCTAAAATGAGTCCATTTGTTGCATATAGCTATAATTTATTCATCCTCATGGCTGGATAATATGCTTGGCTGCATGTCTCTGCCACAATTTATTCTCCTATTTGAGAACACTTAGGTGGTTGCCAAGTTTTTGATATTACATAATAGTGTCTCCTAAAATATGTGTATGAAGTTTCTCTAGGGCAATGACTTTCAAACCTTTTGACCCCAACCCGGTTAGAAATGCATTTACATTGCAATCCACTGTACACAGAGATATGTATATCTACAAGTGTGTACCTGAAACAAAATTTTAACAATAATGCTCCTTGGATATTTCTTATTCATGTGTGTGCTCGTTCCTTGCACCACTGGCCCTCACCTTTTTAAATGCTACTTTCTGAACTGATTGCCACCCACTAGGTCTCTAGCTCAGCATGATAAGGCATCTTGTCTGTGGTCAGGCATTGGAAGCACAGCAGGAATATGGTCACGTGGAACAGGCTGTTCTGTGTTTTCCTGGTTCTGTGCTCATCATACCCCACCATCAGTTCTCAGGAGTAGCCCAGCGCACAATGAACCTGTCAGAGTGGAAACTCATCGGCACATAGTTAAGGCAAACCATATTCAGCAAGATTCTGGTTCAGTCTCACTAGAACACTCTGTCCTTAGGTTACAAAGCTGGTAGAGTAGCAGTGGCCCACTTGGAGTGATAGCCCTTCGCACGCCTTCTTTTTCACTCAGACTGCTCCAGTACAGATTGGTTGACTTCTTTGGGCACAACTGCCATCCTGAGTGATGACTGCTCCCTTACAGTTCCTGTGTCAGAGCTCCTGTTTCCTATAGTCCAAATCCTTTTTTCTCTTGTTTTACTATCTTGTTTTCTCTCTTTGTTTTTATGGAGCACATCCTTCATTATCTTTTTGAGAAAGGAGGACACGGAAAGTAAATGTTTTTGAGCTCTTGCATGTCTGGAAGTATTGTGGCCAGGCATAAAATTCCATGTTAGAAATCATTTTCCTTTAGAGTTTGAAAGCATTTCTCTGTCATCTTTACAATTCCAGTGTTGCTGTTGAGGAGTGTGAAACCATGTTGATTCCTGTTCCCTCACATATGATTTCTTTGTTTCCTCTCTGGGAGCTTGGAGAGTCTTCTTTTTGTCACCAGTGTTGTAAAATTTCAGAGAGATGGGTCTTTTTGTGGATCTGGTTTCACACGTAGTGCTGGGCACGTGGTAGCCCTCTTAGTCTATTGATATATGTCCTCAATGATGTGGAAAATTTTGTGCATTCTTCAACTTTTATCCCTTCCATTTTTGTGAGGTTGTTTTTTCTTTATAGAACTCCTTTTGTTTGCATCTTATACACTATTGGACCAAACTTCTAATTGTTATCTTTTCTTCTATTGTCTATCTTTGTTTTTTTGCTCCACTTCGTAAGATTTCCTCAGCCTTATTTTCCATCCATTCTACTGAGTTTTTCATGTCTTACTGTGTTTTTAATTTCCAAGAACCTTTTTCTTTGAAATGCTCTTTTTTCTATATTTATAACAGCCTGTTCTCATTCAATGCAAGTACTATTTCTCTGAAGGCATAAAAAAACTTTTTTTTTTGTCTTTTTGGAATTTTCTTGTCTTTTGCTCACTATCTTACAAGTTAGAAGCTTTTCTCAGATGTTTGGAAATCATTGGCTGCTTCTCGCGATAAGGAATCGGGATCTACAAAGCTTGTTGGAAGCTCTGAGTGTGTGCATGGGGCTTGTTGACTAGAATTTCACGATGGGGTGATCAGGGAGCCTGTTTGGTCATACCTCTGGTGTCAGTGGATTTAGAACTTTACGTTTTGTCTGATCAGATTCCTCATAGAAGAATCTATATATTCTACCTAGAGAATCCAGGTCTGGCTGCCAGGTTCTTGGAGTCAGGTGACAGAAGAGAGCTGGAGAAGGGGGCCTCTCTCTGTATTTAGCACTTGTTAGATGTGTGTATTGTCTCTAGTTCCCCTGGTGCTGCTGGTGGTTTTGTAAAATGCCTAAATCCTCACGTGGTCATGTCCTCCGTTCCAAGAGATTGTAATTCTCGAAGTACGCCTCGCTTGGCGTCGGGGAGGAGCAGGAAGGGGCGTGCTTGCTGTGCTCAGAGCCTGCGCCTGTCCTCCCTGTTGCAGCCCCTCTCTTTCACCCCAGTTCTAGAGGGATTTGGTGCTGCTTTTAACTCAGCCTTTTTGTTTTTTCCACTGTTGCCTTGTGAGTTGGCCTTTTCCGTTCTGCTAACTGAAACACTTTTTATTACTTATCCATCTGTTTTCCAGCTTCCAGAATTTTGTTGCCATGTCTCTTTGGTTTTTCCTCATGCTCGTGGATTTTTTTCTGAACTGCTTTATTTTCTTTTTAACGGGATATAGGGAGAGACTAAAGTTAGAGGCTTCTATTCAGTCTGATACTTTGACCCACAGGTCACTTTTCATTCTCTTACATGTGTCTTTAACAGAAAGTCTGTTTTAATATAGTCAAATATTTAATGGAGTCAATACATTTTTTTATCTTGTTTAAGAAATTCTTTCCTACTGTGATGTCGTAAAGATTCTCTTGTAGTGCCTCACGTAAGTTGCCTGGCTTTCACATTTAGGCACGAAAGGCCCTCCTTTCTCTGCTGATGGGCAGTGCCAGTGCTGCCATCGTCACATGGCGCTTTTTCTGGGCTCTCAACTCTGGATTCCTCTGCCTGTACTGCACAGCTTTAGGATAATTCTCACACTGGTGAGCAGTCCTTTTCATCTTGATCTTTAGTGCTTTGAATCAGAACTGTGTGAATCCCAGCCCTGCCTCTTAATAGCTTCCCATCTGTAAAATAAGGCATTGCCCGTTGATTGACTTCGAGAGAAGCTACTTGAAGAATCACTAGTAAGGTACTGATTTTGTTTTCTGATTCAATTGCTTTTTAATCAGCTCTTTTGCATCAGGGGTACAAAAGGAGATGCTGCTCTTCTGGATTATTGGAAAGGCTGGGGAGAAGAGAAATATTTTTAAATGGAACTGATGCTTGTATCTTAGGGAAAAAACCCATAATATGGATGTTCCCGGCATTCTGTAAACAAAGTCTCCTGAAAAGGTTAACTCAGACGAGTCTTAAGTAAACCATAAAATTACACTATTTTATGTGTTTTGTGTTTGTTTCATCATAGGATATATGATTGGATGCCTGAACAGCCAAATATATTCCAAGTGGAGCAGTTGGAACGCCTGAAGCAAGAATTGCCAGAGCTTAAGAGCTGTTTGTGTCCCACTGTTAGCCGCTTTGTTCCCTCATCTTTGTGTGGTGGGGAGCCTGACATCCATGTGGATGCCAATGGCATCGATAACGTGGGGAGTGCTTAGTTTTGATTGGACAGAGGCCATTGTGGGGCATGTACCGCTGTTCTGGATATTCAGTTTTCATCAGTGAAGCATTGTTTTTCTATGTCTTTTAGGTTTCTTGGTCCAATGAAGCAATAATGAAGTATTTTACTATTTCACTACTGTTCTTGCTAGAATTTCAAAAGTATGCTATTTAAATCACTTGGCCAGGTATAACTACCAGTCATTCTCTTTACAATGAGAAAATTTATTGGTTGGTAAATATTTTAAACTAAATATGTAAACGTATAATGTTAAACAAATGTTCATTAAAAGCATAGCACTTTGAAATTAACTATATAAATATCTCATATTTACACTTCTTACAGCTTTTCATTTGATCAGGCCTGAAATATTTAGTACTTGAGGAACGTGGCTGTGCATAATTATACCTGACCATGGAAGAAATAAGTACCTCAAATGCATGCATTTGCACTGGTGATTCCAACTGCGCAAATCTTTGTGCCATCTGTGTATATATGTGTTTTTTACATGTGTTGACATGCACATATACCATTTTCATTCAGTATGAACCTTGAGGCTGCTGCCATCTTCCCACTTAACCAAACCAATGCCTGTGTAAACAGCCTGGGGGTGATCCTTAAAAACTTGTTTCATGCGTCTTTCAAAAGTTGTTTTGCATAAATGTTAAAATTTCACAATGCTGCAGGGTAATCTAATGTATAAAATATTAGAAGTATGTATTGCATACTTAGTAGAGTAGATCATAATGTATAAATTCTATTCAATGCATGCTTTAGGTTTCAAGCATGAGATTGTTCACGTTTACTGTAAGTCCTTGCATCTGTGGTGCTAGGTGAGTGTGAGAAGATGTCAAGGACTGAAGATATTTTGTTGCCTAAAAAAAAAACTCTGTTTGTAGGCATTTTGAATACGCTTATTTTAAGTGTCTCTCACTACCTATTACACACAGTTGCTTTGTGGGTTTGTTTTGTGTGTGTGTCTTGTACAGTAGTTAAATCTCCATGCAGAAAAATAAATGTCCTGAATTCTCATATTGGTATTCTTTATTGGTTAATGTATATCATGCATGTAATTTATTTAGGAATGTAGAAGATCCTACTAAGTGTATATGCATGTTTTTAGGATTATACTAATGTTTCCTTCATCAGAAGCAGTTTGTTTTGGCATAACTGTAATTTAAGAATGAATGTTAAATAAAATACACAGATTTATTTTCTTCATTATAAAATGTAATTTTAAAAAGGTGTTACTTTTGTGGAATTGGTTCTATAATATTCTTATGAGAAGTTGGAATTTAGTACCTACCCTAAAGGGATGGCTTGTTTGCGTCTCCATTTTACTGCATGTTCTTCACTAGGCAGTTTATTCATGTACTGACATATTTTGGTAGTAGCTGAGAACCTAAGACTTGGAATTACGCATTGTATCTTTTTATTTTTTAAGTCAAACAATCCAGTTTGGGTCAGATCTTAATTGTGTGAGGATAGGCTTTGAAATCCTGTGGTACCATGTTTGTAACACTGATGTTTGATGGAAAATAGTTGGAAATGGAGTCTTCTACAAGGGTTCTATATACTTTTCCCATGTTGAATGAGATTTTCCAACTCTTTGGTGTGAATTAGGCACTTTTAGAAATCTTCTGAAAAAATTAGTTTTCTTCATCTGTAGACCTCTGTACAATACAAGTACCATTACCTCTGGTCACTTAATTAGCCATATATGCACATTTCTAGGCCTCTTTGTTTGTTTTATGCTTTTCCAGTTCCAGCCTCATTTTGAAGACTCGCCAGATGATAAAGGGAAAGAAGAGAGGATGAGGAAAGGAGGTGATGGGGGGTGTGGAGTTTTCCTGAACAGTGTAATTTGCTGAGAAGGACTTAGACTGCTCATGACACAGACAGAACCTCATTGCTCACTTTCTTTCCTGTCTCTTCCTGACCTTACAAGCCAGGGTTAGTGTTGATTAAAACATAACAGACAGTGGCTCCCCATTTTTATAGGACTAAGCCTGGGCTTCCATGTCACTAGCTGTTGCCGTGTACACTCTGCGCCTGTGCTAGGCCCTGGCCACACCATGCGCCTACACTCTCCCTGTGTGTAGCCGTGTGCCCTCGGCCTAGAAGCTTTGACCTCCCCGCAGATGCTTTCTCCTTGCCAAACTCATTTCTCCTTGAGCCCTTGACCTCTCTCCCCTGAGCCCTTGCTGAAACTCCTTCGGAAGGGATGGCTCGATCGTTTTTACTCCATAGCCATGTGTTCATATCTTGATCACGCCGTGCGTCTTAGCACATTCTGGGTGGGCACGGTTGATGTTTGTCTCATCTGCCAGGCTTCGGGCTCTTCAAGGGCGGGGACCTTGTCTTACTCATTTTTATTTCCACAGTGCGTGGAACATAGTAGAAAATAAATGTTGGAATTATTGGGATAATATAATTTGTATCAAATGCCCTTTTGAATTAAGAGATTTAGATATGTTTACTAAGAAGGTAAACTTTGAATTGGTTTACATTTTGACAGTTGGGACAGTTTCTTGATGTCAATTTTAAATGTAGAGGTATAACGTTAATTGTTTTATATTTTCTGGAAATTGAGTGAAATGTTTGATAAAATGCTGCCATTGTTCTCTGGTATTTTCTACTCTCTGGAATTATGTACTGTAACTGACTGATGTAAATGTGAGGAACATACTCATTCCTCTGTGGTAGTGCCTGAGGCCTCCACAGCCGCCCGTTTACCTCACTCCCATTGCTCCATGTGACCCTTCCCTTTCTTCTCCCCTCCAGACCCCACGCTCACGGCTACCTCAGTACCGCTTTCCTTGTCTGAAATGCCTTCTCTGTCTTCCTTCAGTGTCCAGCTCAAGTGCCACCTCCTCCATAAAACTGCCTCCGCTTTTGATCAGTCACGATGCAGACGGCCTCTAAATCTCACTACTCCATTTTGCAGCTGGGGTGATAAACCCAGAGAAGTCCCCTGACTTACCAGGCCGGGAGTGGAACTGAGTTTTGTGACTCCTAATCCTATGTTCTTAAACTACTCTGCCTTCTGAATTCTTAGGGCATTTCTTAGCATATGCTTTCTTAGAGTCCAGCTTACTATGTGCCTGTCCTATTTCCCTAATAAGATTGTAAGCCCCTTAAGGGCAGGGACTTCTTTGCATTCTACCACTCCTATAGTATTCTATATTTAGTTATGAACTAGATAAATAAATGGTGGTGGCAACAATCCCAGTTTCCTAACTCAGATTGTTTCACATTATACATACAATTTTGTATAGCATGCTTGGCCATATTGTCTGGAGTGTGTATGCTCACGTGTGCATGTGTGTTTTTGCATGTTTACACATGGAGTTCTCACTCTCCCCTTGTTGCTTGGGGTCACATATATGATGAGTTACCATAAACCAATTTTCTACTCCTTACTCAATGGGGACAATTATAGGAGGTAAGTGAAGATAAGGTACAGTTTTCCCCCCAGCATTGGCCGCCCCTTCCTGGGGCAGTATCCCTAAATCCTGCAGCCAGGCCTCATAGTGAAGAAGGTGCTGCCTTGGATAGGACTTGTGTGACCTGTCGGGGGGGCTGTGTCATCAGTCCTGATGGACCATCATTGTCCTGTGTGCCTTGGCTCTCTTCACAGCTTGACCGCATCTTGTCTCCCAGTATTACTGGTTTGATCTCTAGGTTGACAATGGAGTTCTCTTAATTTAGATTTGGTTGCAACTGATTTGTGGATTTTAAGTTGGATCATGTACTTTTTAGGTAAAAAGCAAAGTATGTAATTAGAAATAGTGCATTATTTTGGTGTTCGTAAGTGGAAATTCATTCACATTTCTTAGTGGGTTCCTATAGTTTGAGGAATAGATTAGAAATGTTTAAAGCACAAGAGAGTGTATGATTAAGACCACGTGAGTATGTTTTGGGGGTAGGGAGGAGAGATCATGGGCTGGAACAGACTTCATGGAGCTCTCAAGTCGTTAGAGATGGAGTAGCGGTCAGGGTAGTTGTGAAGCCAGTTCGGGGCACAGCCTTTGTAAACTCAGGACCAAGGCGGGATTTGTGGTGTGTTCAGGGGGAATGAAGGAGCCATCTGACAATGGAGAGGGGATTTCGAATGTCAGAGGCTTTGCCTCCTTGTAGGAGATAAAGTTTATTAGTGATTTTAAAGAGAAATGCCATTAAAATGAAAAGTACTTTAAAATAATGAAGAAATTATTACAGGAATAATAAAAGAAGTACAGAGATTAATTTTTCTAATCCTCTACTAAATTGATCCAAATATACCTCTGCCTGTTTCCTCAGAAAACAAATGCAGATGGGATGGGTGAACTTCTGAAATTTACTTGCAAACTCAAACTATATAATTTCCCATGAAGGAAACCAAACATCTAGTAAAAGCTCCATGCATCCCACGGTTTTAAATGTCACTCTCTGCAGCCCAGACCTCTCCCCTAAGCTCACACATCCAGCTGTCTGTCCACATCTCCATGTGGAGGTCTAATGGGCTTCTCACAATCAGTGTACCTTAACAAAGTCACCCTCTTCCACCACACCTGCTCCCATCCCACCTCCTCCAGTGTTCTGTCTCATTAAGTGGCACCTGGGAGTCTTCCATGATTTTTCTCTCACTGAAAACTTGTGATTAGTATAATTTCTTATTATGATATATGACAGGTCAGTTGCCCATTTGTTCTTTTTCAATTTTTAAAAAATTCTTACAGATATTTTTTTGCTTAATAACATGAGAATCACCTTATCAAAGTACCAGAAAAGTCCCCTTGGGATTTTGATCAATGTTGGATTGATTTTCTAGACTAATGTGTGGGAAGGATTTAAAAATAGGAAATCTTTCTATCCAGAACACTGTCTCCATTTATTCAGAATTTTTACATCTTTTAGTAAAATGGGTTTTTTCGTTTAGGTATTGTATACTTTTTAAGGTCTATTTCTATATTTTTAGAAACTACTTATGAATTGTTTTTCTAAAATTCCTATTACATTTCTTTAAATACTTTGTTCTTCATCAATAATAAGCACTTAACTTTTGTTTAGCTACTTTGCAGAGTTCAATTAGTCAAAAAAATTGTTACTTAAGTCTGGGATTTTTTAGATGATTGATCATATTACCTGCAAGTGCATTTTTCTAATTTTTAATAACAGCTTTCTTTATCTTATTTCATTAGCTAAGAACAGTTGTAGGCATCCTTGTTTCTTTCCTGACTGTCATGGTAAATAAGTATGATGGCTGCTGAGCTTTCTATAGATGACCTTTATCAAATTAAGGAAATTTCCTTTTTTCTTAGTTTCCTAAAAAATCTCTTCCTCCCTGCCACCCCTAGGAATAGATTTTGAATTTATCCAATGAGTTTCTGAGGATTTAGAAAATAATAATAGTTTTTATTATCTGTTAATTTTAATGGAGTGAATGATGTTAATATATTTTCTAATGTTAAATTACCCTTCAATAACTGGTATAAAACCTATTTATGAATGTTCTTTCAACACTGATTTGCTAATTTGTTTATGATTTATTACCTACCCATAAATGAGATTGACTTAGTTTTCTTATGCTATTTATGTCTAGTTTTAGAGACCCTTAGGATAGCTTTGTAAAATGAGTTGCTTTTCAGGTTTTCCTCCCTTGTGGAACAGTTTATATAATGTGAGAATCATCTGTTCATTGAAGGTTTGATAAACTCCTATAAAACTATGTGCATGTGCATATCTTCAAGTGTTTTTTACTGCCTTTACAGTTTCTTCTTTAGTTATAGCCTGTTCATGTTCCCTAGTTTTTAAATTAAATTTATATTTCCTTGGGAAATCATTCCGTTTTCCTAGATTTAGAAAAATTTCTTGTATGTAAAGCTATGTGTCTTATTTAGCGTGTGTGTGCATCTCGCTAAGTGACCACTTTCTCTTAATGCTTTCTTTGGGGTGAAGGGTGCATTATTCTTGATTAGATGGCCAAAGAACTTTTTTCTTTAACTAGGCTCTAGTAGTATTGAGCAATGTTTTTACCATTTCAGTTATTACTGCTCTTAAACGTAGTTTTTAAAATTCTACCTAATTTGGATTTTTTTCATACCTTTTCTTCTTGAGTTGGCTCTACCTCAGCATTAAATACAGTTCTGGTTCCATAACAAAAGAATGATGGAGTTGACCTTAGAGAAATACTGTTTTAATGAGAGTAGAACAAGAACTTTAAAAAAAAAAGTTTATACTCCTTCGAACCAATGTTTCTATAATAATGGAACTATGCACAATATAAAGTAGAAACCTTATTTCTTAGGTTCTGCCTAGTGTGATTGAACTGAATTTCCTTATATAGTCATGCACTGCATAATGACATTTTAGTCAGTGACATACGGCATATATGACGGTGGCCCCGTAAGATTAGCACCATGGAGCCTAGGTGGAGTAAGCTGTACCATCGAGGTTTGTGTAAGTGCAGTCTGTGATCGCACAATGACAAAATCGCCTGACGACACATTTCTCAGAATGTATCCCCGTCAAGTGACACATTACTGTAATTATTAAAGCATAACTAAATCAAGTATTTGTTGAGGGCTTGGGTAGGAGAATAAAGCCCCTTCTGTCTTCAACATGCTCATTATTTAGTTGAGGTAATATGTGTTTTAAAAAATGCAAGATTGTAGCAGTTGTCCAAGAAAGCAATAGAAGGAAAGTCACCAAGCTATACCCTAATGCTCGTTTAATGACAGATTAGGCCCTGCACCTCCACTTCAGCCGTGTGGCTCTGCTCTGACCTGTGTGATTTCTCCTAGTAGAGATGTGATTTGAGGATGGATGGAGTTCCTTTGCTTAAAATTACTTGAGATGGGGGCCAGCCTAGTGGCGTAGTGGTTAAGTTCAGTTCGTGCACTCTGCTTCAGCAGCCTGGGGTCCACGGGTTCGCATCCTGGGCACAGACCTACACACCACTCATCAAGCCATCCTGTGGCAGTGTCCCACATACAAAATAGAGGAAGGTTGGCACAGATGTTAGCTCAACAACAATGTTCCTTAAGCAAAAAGAGGAAAATGGCAACAGATGTTAGCTCAGGGCCAATCCTCACACACACACACACACACACACACACACACAAATACTTGAGATGCTATTAAACATGTAAGTCGAGGGGTGTGTGTGTTGAATTTTAGGTGATTTCCTCAGTGTTGCCTTCCAACTCATTTACCCTTTCACTATATCCAGCTTACTCTGTTTATTGCATTTTAAAGTATATTTTAAAATTTTTATATATTGCATTTTAAAACTGTATTTTTCATTTCTAAGATTTCTAGTTTATTCTTTATGTCCATCTGATTTTATTTCAGTCTTATTTCTATTAAATGATTTACAGCTATTTTTTTTTTTTTTTTTTTTTTGAGGAAGACTAGCCCTGAGCTAACTACTGCCAGTCCTTCTCTTTTTGCTGAGGAAGACTGGCCCTGAGCTAACATCCGTGCCCATCTTCCTCTACTTCATATGTGGGATGCTTACCACAGCATGGCATGCCAAGCAGTGCCATGTCCGCACCCAGGATCCAAACTGGCTAACCCCAGGCCTCCAAGAAGTGGAACATGAGAACTTAACCACTGTGCCACCGGGCCGGCCCCTACAGCTCTTTTTTAATGGAAGTATAACTCCCACTTATCACTTTAAACATTCCAACCTATTTTATTATTTTACCCCTTTCAGTCTGTTCTGGAATGAATTCCTGTTCTGATTTTGTTGATTTTTTGGGCTTTCTTAGCATAGAGTTTCTCGTGTTTTGGAGTTTTGGTACGCAAATTTGTGTTTTTGTTTCTTTTCTTCCCTCTTCCACCCTCTCTGATGGTCTGTGGTTGCCTCTCTTAGGAGCTCCAGGACCTCAATCTAAATCCAGTTATATGATCGCACCTGGTAATTAATGCCCAGAAGGACACTGGGGACATTTCACCCCACCCCAGAGTCACCAGATGATGTCATTTTGATTTCTGGTCCAAGGAGATTTTTATATTCTATTTTACTCTTTTTTGCTTTCTGTTGTTTTAGTTTGCCCATTTTTCTTGTGTGTTTAGAGCAAAGATTTGTGAGTTTGGCATAAATTCAGGGAGTCATCATACAGTGGTAAAAATCCCCACCATCCCAGAGGACAGTGATGTAGATTCCTCGTGCCCAGCGGGGACCAGTATTGCTGTGGGTTTGTCGTCCTTCACCTGCCCAGTGCCCACCTCCTACTTCTG